AGGGCAACACAGTCAAAAGTGTTGGGAAGTCGTTGATATGCTTGGAACACGACATTGGATGATAGTTGAATATGGTAACAATGGTGCACGTGATGCCACGGCTACGCAGAATCCGAGAAACAGCTTTCTACGTGACACCAGAAAATTGACAAATACTCTCTCCCACCCCCTTAAGCCCCCAACCTTCCATTTTAACCCCAGCAAAAAGTATCCCATAAAGCAGTTTAATTTTTTCTTGTTTTTTACGACTTGCCTCACCAGACCGATTTTCAGAAACTATAGAGCTTTTTATAGTAGTACCCTTGACTGAAAATTTCATCAAAGCTTTATCGGTGCAAAGTTATAGACGGGACAGGACCAGCGGACGTACTCCCAGACAGACAAACCGACAAACAGACCTACGGAATTGAGTGACGTGGTTTTTCGTGTTGTACTTGTCACATAACATTCAAAAATCGTAACAACTCAATTTCGAAATTTTTCGCGATGACAATACTTCTTCACCAGTGCGAGAAATAAAAATAGCAAAAAAAATAGTTGTAAAATTTTTGATATGATGAAGCCTGCCAGATTATAAAATAGAAAAACATAATTTATAAAAATATATTTATTACTTATAGTTGCAGTCTAATGAGTTGGTAACAGTCTTAATAAAACTAAATAGATCTTACAAACTAAAAGTACAAAATGCTCCATCCACATACTATTACTACTACTACTACTAACACATACTGGAAGAACTAAAATTTATTGTGTACCAAAGCAGCCGAGTGAGCAATAGTCTAAGTACCAGGGCAATGCGGCTGCCATGAGAAGCATTAGGTACAACAAGATGTACGCTATGTAAGTATCTATACTGCATGATTATGTACAAAATGTCTGAATGTATGATTTCAGTGTTGCCTTTGTTCATAAAACGTAAAGCTGTGTTTGCAAAGCAAAGTAATTTTGATACTGGTACTGTTTTATATGCTAGAAAATGTATAATTTCTAAGTTGTTTAAGCATTGGTGGATATACTGCACAAATTGCATGTAATGGCAATATACGTTACACCAATTTGTTTCCGCTTTTGCCAATATTTGCGTATCATTGTAGATCCCTTACGATTCCTAACTATTAAAGTCTGCTTCATGCCTCGAAGTTATTTGCAATGAACTCCGAGAATTACTAGGAAAGACTCAATAACATTTCGACGAAAATATAATCACAGAAGTCGCGTACATATACATAGAAGAAAAGTATTTCGAATTGCCAGTATATATTTAAGTTATTTTGTAAATAAAATCTTAGGTAGCTGTACGTTTTATGATGAAAATGGGACGCAGCACTATTGTAACTAAAGATTGCCATTTGAACGTTTGGTACCTGATGCGGCCCTAATCTCACACTACAGGTAGAGCGCAAACTTGTTTTTGAGGAAGCTTTCGTAACAAATGCCTCCTTTAGTTACAAATTCTGGTACAGGGTGACCCATAAGTCAATATCAATTGAACGTCTAGATAGCAAAGAGATTTTTAGGAATCAAACTTTTATAAAAGTGTAGTTTTGTTCGTCATTTGACTGCCTACAGTAACTAAAAAAATTAAGTTTTAGTTGCGCTTTCAAAACGAATATTAGAACACCTTGAATGTCAAAATCCATCATCAAATGTACGTTTGAAGCCCTCTATGTTGATTTTATAACTCACGCTACTAAAACGAATCTGGGAACACCTCGTAAATAAAAATCTATCAAGCCATTTGGCTATACCCATTGAAATAGACAAAACTCAGCCGACTCTCTTACCCAGAAGCCAGAAAATACTTTCACGAAGGTTTTTAAAGTATTGAGCCCTAATCGGTGATCCAAACATCTCAAATAGCTGCAGTTCTCGAGACATTCTAACCTAAAATCGCAAACATAGCAATTTGTAGCCATATTCAAAGTTATGTAACACGACGAATTATTTTTTCTTCCACAAAACCATGTAAATCAAATCCAAGTAGAAACTAGGTCTTTCAAACGCCGTTGAAATTACTCAAATATTTCCTTTCGCTGAGATATGGCAATTTTTATTTTTCTGATCTAGAGCGGCTCAGCATCTATCAGCAGAAAGTAATTTTCTAAACTTGGCCTTGATATGGTAGGATAGGTTGCAGAATTGGGATTTGGGTAAGTCTTAGATATTTCATAGATTTAGTGTTGATGATAGGTTCTTTAGCTGGTATGTCTAATTTAATAAACATACATTAATTTATGATTAGATTTTTGGCGCATTATAATCCAAATCACAGCTTTGATGCACACGTAATCATAACGTGCACTGTAGGGTATCAAGTCTTGTGAAATTCAGAAAAATTAATATTTCGTATGCCATATCTCAGCAAAAAAAGAATATTCAACATGATCTCCCTGGTTTTTTGTAAATAAATAATTCGCCATGCTACATAACCTCAAATATAGGCAAAAATCGATATTTTTGCACTTTTAGGTTAGGATATCCTGGAAATAAGAGCTAATTGAGAGTTTGGCACTACGGATTCTGCCTCACGGCATCAAAAACCTTCAGGAAAGTACTTCCTCGTTTCTGAGTGACAATATTGTCAGTATGAGCTATTCTTGTTTGCATATATACATAATACACCCACGAAAAAACATGCTCTTCCTTCTGAGGCGGTCGGTTGAAAATACTTGGTTGTTACGGCAGATGTCCAATTTTAAGTTGAATTGTGGGAAACCCTGTATAACAATGGTAAAGCTATGGTATAACTAATACAATATCGTAACTAAGCTCTGGCAAGGGCACCGACATGGCATGATAAAACTTAAATCACAACTTGAGGACCAAGTAGATACTACATACAAACATGGAAGCTACACACCATTATGTACAGGATATGACTTCCAATTCAAGAACACTGGTTGACCTACAGACATTTAATCAAAATACTCCCTTCATGACTACTTCCAATGCTCTGTATATCTTCAAATAGAGAAAAAGTCTCTTATCACTCTTAGGTTGGATCCTTTCCTCAGGACCTGAAAACACAGCTATCAGTAATACTGTAGTGAAGTTGTCTATTCAACGTCTAAATAACTGAGATACAGATTGATTCACTGGATTCATCTAGTAGATAACAATTCTACGACGACGTTAACCTAAAATTTGCAAAAGCAACGCTGATCCATTTCATTGGAGTACATTATACAACCGGTATCTAAGAATACTTGTTAAGAAATTAAAGAAGTATCAAATGTTAGCTTAATTGGCGCAGATGATGGACAGAGGTCAACTTTTACCTCGATCAACTGCACCGTTCGTATGTCGTGAAAGTCAATTTTGTCATTGAACAAAACACAAACTTTAGTAATTCAAAATGATGAACTTTCATTACAGTACCTATATGCGAAAGGTAGGGAAATCTCGAAACTGGAGCAACTACAGACCAAAATATGTGAATTGACCTGAAACTCGTATAGGGAGGTTTACTAGAATGAGAAACAGGAATCCGCTATTTTTATGACCAAACCTCTAGAGGGCGCCATCATAACTTTTTTGTGCTACCCTGTATACAATAGCTGACCAAAAAATCTTATTTTCTCGTAATTTCACAACAATTTCACAATGAAGGTTGTACGCTGACAGATTCCCTAATACACACCTGCCTAATGCAAAGACTTTCCAACGAATCGATCAGCGGTTACGAGAAACTGGTGAGAAATGATAATAGCCTTATTTTGAGTAGTAAAAACAGTTTTGATTTTAGGTAGTTTTGCTCAAAATATGGGCCGACATAGTGGAGCTCACAGAGTACGTACAGCTGAAGTTGAAGAAAATGTTTTAGATGCTGTCTTTGAAAATCCTGCAGTTGGCGTTAGGAATGTAGCTCGAAAATTTCAAGCAGTACACTAAATATAGTAAATACCATTTTTCAAGAGCAGCTGATCCATCCAAACCACCTGCAAAAAGTAAATGGTTTAAGCGCCGATGATGACCCCGCAAGGGTAGAATTCTGTGCATGGCTCTTAAGGAAGTTTAAGCACGGCAATGGTTTTACTTCGTTAATCTTATTTTCGGGCGAAGCAGGATTTGGAAGGGATGGGCCCATTAACTCGCATAATCTTCACATCTCTGCAGACGAAAATCCTTATGCAATAATATAAACCCGCCACCAACTACAATTTCAAGTTAATTTATGGCCAGCAATAATTGGACAATGTTTAATAGAATACGTTGAGTTACCACCTAGACTAAATAGCCAAATGTATTTACAATTTCTTGAAGAACAATTACCCACTCTACTAGAAGATCTTACATTACAAACACGCATGAATATGTGGGTTATGCACGACGGCGCTCCACCTCATTTTAGTATATATTAGTAAGGGATCACCCAAATAGAGTTTATCCAGACCAGTGGATCGATCAGGATCTGTAGCGTGGCCGGCTAGATCACCAGATTTAAATCATATGGGTTTCTCCTTCTGGGTTGAATTAAAACGACGCGTTTACAATACGCCAGTCGAGACTGTAGATGATCTTCGACAAAGAATTGATGAAAATGAAAAATAACATCCAAATGCTTGATTATTGTATTATAAAAATGTTTTATCATCATGATACAAATAATGCATTGGAACCTTTAGAATCAAATATCTCGAAAACTATTAGCTTTAGACACGTCTAACAAGTAAACCTTTTTTGCTGTGGAAATACGAGGAAATAAGATTTTTCAATCAGTTGTTGTATACAGGGTAGCACAAAAAAGTTATGATATTTACCAAAATAGTGCTGTAAGTGGCGCCCTCTAGAAGTTTGGCCATAAAATAACGGATTCTTGTTTCTCATACTCTCCTATACCGACTTTTATGCCATAATCTGAAATACTTCTCAAGCAATCCGGAAAAATAGAAAATAAAATTCTAACTTTGACACCCGCATACTATCAACTTTTGGACAAAGGTATGTTTAGGTCAATTCACATACTTTGGTCTGTAGTATCTCCAGTTTCGAGACTACCCAAACTTTCGCAGACACATTGTATAGTACGGCATTAATGACCTTAGGTATTCCTTATTTTATTCTATACAACGCAATTATTGACTTTTTCATCGATTTTGGGCTATTCCTATTTTATAATAACGGCGCATCTTAAGAAGTAGCGACTACCAATGTATATCGTGGTGAATTTGTACTTACATCACAAATACTGACATTGCAACTGTTATTTCGTTACCAGTCAAATTGTACGCACACCGATAAACGAATTTTTGGGACACTAAAAAGAAATTGAATAATTTCAGATTCATAACTACGACTTCCTGACATTGATTATGAGCTATTTTATTTGGAATCAAGGATGACTAAATTATGTTTCATAGACGAAGATCATTGATCAAATAGGACAATGAATCATTCTGTACGATACGTTGAATAGAAGAACTTCCTAACAGTGTTAGCACAACTTACAGTGTTAAGCTAGCTTCACTTCTATCAGATGTATTTGAGCACAATGGGTACAACGCGAGGAATGAGCTTTTGCAGCATCCTAGAAACAGTAATGTTTTTTTTAACTGGCGGAAGAAAAATGTCAATGAAACAACAAATGTACTACAATTTTGAGAAAAAGTCAATTCCAGGAATTTTATGATATTTTGATTTTTTGATGCCTTACAAAGTGCTGGAGTTTTATGGTGCTAAGCGGGCAATATTCTTATTGGATTATCTAGCTGCAATAGGGTATTCAGCAACATACGGCAATATATTGGTAAGATTCTGAGTAATGTATGTGCCTACCCATTGCTGACAATATCGTCAAGAATTAGCTGTTTCTTGATTTTTTGTAATTAAGGGATCGTTTCTTGAGTTCATACTAAAAAGAAAACTTCATATGGACGTATGTCATGAACGGCTTAACTTTTTGAATACAGGGTGGTACAGTTTTAAGGAATAAATAATGTATTATAAATATCTGTATGTACCACTTAAGATATTTTAATGAAATTTTGCATTGTTACATGTACGCATTCTTTTAATTTTAATTAGAATCTTTCGTGCAGAACTCTTTCAATTTTTCAATCCGATTATTAGAACGAAAAGAAAAAAAGAAAGAAAGATAGCTTTTATTATTCTAGGTGGAAACTGTGCATTAGATTGAAAAAAATCAATATATCAAACCTTCTGACAAAAAAACACAAATTTTAGCTTTGTTTATTTATATATTGAAAAATTTATCCTGTATCTCCAAAATTGGGGGTTTAGGACACACGTTCTTATGAAATTTTCTTTTAAAAATGGACTCAAGGATCAATCCCATAAATGTTGACATTTAACTAGGAAACCTTGCATAGCCAGGTCTATTATTACTATAGTTATAGCCAAATATCGATACAAAAATACTACCCGCTCAGATGCTCCATGAGTAGAATACGGATCTATTTTATTAAAAAATTCTGATTCTGGAGTGTAGCTCCCAGCCTAACAACATCTAAAGTTTATATTTATCCTCATCCTCCTTTGGCCTCACGTACACTGGGAAAGACCTCTTGACGACATTGGACTCTGCAGATGGTTCAGTCGTGGTGGTGGTGGTTGTCTTCGACTTGAGCAACCTCTTCATAGCATATTCTCTTAAGCTCCTAAATGCTGGCCTGGAGTTTTGCACCAAGTTGTTTACTGCTTGTAGTGTCTGGATGGGAATCTGGAAAATAACAGCTCGAGCTCAAATATTGAACGCCGGAATGTTTGAGAGATGCTTCAGATTCCAGCTGTGGTGTCTCGACATGAAAATGGTGAATACGAGTATACGAAAGCAGCAAAAATATTTACATGTACGTGGCGAGATACAGAAAAGCAATAGGGATTTAAAGGAGATGCGGGCATGCATAGAAATTGGAGTGCTAGTTGTTTTATATTGTAGAATTCGGAGCGCCTCTCGGGGATGTGAGCGCGACGTCATCTGCAGATCCTAGGAGGAGAAAATAATGGAAATTTCCCTATCCAGGAGATATACAGTTTATACAGTACACATCTATGTGTAACCAAGGAAATTGTCAGCTTTAGGATTCAAAGAAGAGATCTTTCCCAAAAAGCTAACCAGTACAAGGAGCAATTTGTAAGCTAGTATTACACAAGATTCTGCATTCCAAAAAAATTGACAATATGTGCGCGTTCAAAATTTGAGCATTCTGGATCGGTCTTCCGGTAGTGAGGTCAGACTATGCCTTCAGTGGGGAAAGGAAGGATAATTTAAAATGGAGGAAAGTTAGTTGACAGTCCAGCTAAATGCAGTTCCTGCAGTAAGGTTCTCATCTAGCTACATACGTGGCGAGTTTTGAGTGTGAAAGATGTCTTGGAAAGGTATTTATAAAAATGATAAGTAAATTTATGGTCTGTGGTTGGAAAATATTCCACTCTCTATAGAATGGTTTCATAGCTAACGTGCTTTTTTAAATATAATTTATACTTAATATTTGTAATCAGAAAGAGTGGATTTTTGTTACTCAACCACGCCAAGATAGCTGAACGGATCTGAATGAAATTTGGTTCCGAGAGAGATCCTAGTCTAGAATAACAAATATAGTACAGTTTATCCGAAGAAACCACTTTAAAATATCTATTTCAAGAGCCCTAATGGCTTAATGGAATCTAACACCAGGTGCCTGACGCGGAGGCGCTCAATAACTGGTCCGACCGAAATCCGTAATTTATAAATACGGCATTTACTCGTACATTCGCTTTCTCTACGTTCTGTTCTATTCTGTTTTGTGTTTTGTTTTGGTTCAAGCATAATACTAAAAAAATACACTAATGGAAAAAATTAAAGTGTAAAAGGAACCTGAATTTCTAGTGATTCTTCAGAATGTTGTATCTCAGTTAAAAATTGTCGTATCGAGGTTTCAAAAAAAGCAACTTGATGCTTCAATTTGGTTTTGGGATGTTTTGGTAAGCACATTTTCATTGCTAAAAGATTTTGTAGCCTTCTTCTATCTTTTTTCAAATCTATAGATTCAAAAAATTATTCCAACTAAGATATGGTATGAACAAGATAGCCTATTTATTTAGCTTCCATTTGCTATTTACAAAACCTAGGTACGACATTTTGCTGAGATGTCAAACTCTAAATTAGAAAGAACCCTTTTGTCTTTGATCGACGATATCTCAACAACCAATGGTCGCATAAAAAATCTAAGGACATGTTTAAAACCTTAAACAAAGAAAATACCCTTGAGATAAGCTCGAAAAAAAAGACTAATAGATTAATAGATAAAATTGAAGCTGGGTAAACAAGCTATCCGTTCCATACCATGGCATAGTTGGAATATTTTCTCGCAGATTTTATAAAGGAAAAGTCTGCAAATTTTTCTTAAGCTAGTTCTTATAATTGCGTGGAACATGTATCCCTTTTTGACTATATACTTGGAGCGTCAAGATGATGTTATTAAAACTCCGACAAGACTATTTCCTACTGAGGTATCAGTATTCCATAAAATCAATAAAAAGTCGAAAAACTTATTTGACCTTTTATTTCTACCATTAGTAAAGTTATTGGGTTAAGAGATGTTCAGATTGGCCATGAGACACTTCAGGTATTATTTATTGTGATTTCCATTATACAGGGTGGGCCATCCATGAGTGGACGGAATGTTACTCATAAACAAATACATTTTGGGAAAATCTATTTATGGGATGTTATACACGACAATTGAGGGCACATTTCTAAAATATTGGCCATTATACAATGTGTTCCAATTTCGACCTACATATCAAAGTTGTGATATTTCAAATAGAATGCCTCAAATTTTATTGCATATTTGGATAAACCAATTCAAAAAACTTTGATATGTATGTCAAAATTGGGACACCCTGTATAATGGCCAATATTTTAGAATTGTGCCCTCAAATGTCATGTATAACATGCCATAAATAGATTTTCCCAAAATGTATTTGTTTATTAGTAATATTCCGTCCACACATGGATGGGCCACCCTGTATATTTGATATTAGCTTATTGTTGCATTAAAATGTTCAATAAGAACTTTCCTTTGCCAAAGTAACTATAAGGTTACTTTGAGTGTTACATTTCTTTGTATGAAATAAAATACACATTACACTGCTTTCAAGTGGTTGCAGACTTAGTGCTTAATATATTTTAGTATAGACTGAGTTTGATATGCTATAAGGTTCAGAGCGCACTTCTGGAGCTATTGGATGCTACATTGGAGAAAATAATTAAATTTTGACAGCTTATAAATTAACCACATGCGCAGAAGGAATAGCAAACTTTTCAGCAAAATGTGCATCGTTGTCGATAGTTTTCCATCATTTGAATGTCTGGTGGTATTTACCAAAGAGATTGTAAAATCTACTTTTTCCCAAAAGATTCAAATGGTGTATTTGTACGGTTTTACTTAGTATGGGCGTGATTTTAGCATACAATTTTTGGGGGTCAAGCCATTAATACCACCAACCAAACATTCACGCTTGTCATGAATAACCAGATACTTATTTATTATTAATTGTGGTTTCTCGGACCGTGCAAGTGGTTCAAAAATTTGGTAATGGTGCCCCTGAAATATTGATTAAAAAATAAAGCCTATTGTTTTAAATGATTACTATAATACATAAAAATACACAGAGTGTGTTTCAATTCCTCAAGTAAATGTACCTTTTGTATTTATAAACAGTCATTATATATGGGGATACCTATTATGGTAGAAGGTGCTGCCAAAATATGCCTTTTTGTAATTTTGGCTTGCGTGATTGAAAGGGAGGTTATTATCTCCAGATCTTATCAAGAATATCACATGACTCCTCACCATTAGCAAACATAAAGTTATAAACCTCTAGCTCTATATTGAACCAGAATAAGACAATAGTTACAGGGCATATAGATACCTGAAAAGTTTGCTATTCTTTAGAAATTCTGAGGCACTTATATACAGTTCATCATTCCTTATGTTCTAAATGATCAAGAAGATGACAATCTACAAAATGGCATGATGCAATGAAACGAAACGTACTGCATGAAGATGATATAGTTCAGAAAAGCAATGTACCAATTCACTTACGTTTCACATAACCGCAAAAATAACTTTGGTTCTATCTATCCTGAAGAAGAATTCTCCCTGGCCAAATTGTTTCTGCGTAGGACAAAGAATACTTGTTATTTAGGAAAAAATAAATGGATACTATCGAAGATAGCTAGGTAGGCTGTCTCTTACAGCGAATTTTTTTTCATTCTAAGCTATGCTGTTCATATTGCTTGTCGCAATAAACATTGCAACGGTGGAAATGGGATTCATAATACTCTGTGCAGTATTCAACTATTCAACTCGTCTTCATAATGGATTTGTACCCCAATACGATGATCCGACACATCGATTGAAATAAACCTTTCAGAACTGAAAAAAGATTCTGAAATACGTAATTAATGAAGGATATAACAATATCATAATGGTCTGTAATACCTATGTCATAACATAACAGCTTTGTATTTTTAATTAAATGATGGAGAATTTAACACCAGGATTGCTCAATTTAATTAAAAGCTGGACCTAACCGGCTCCTGCATCGGTGTCTTCAGTGGCAAAACTTTTCGACTTTGATGTACTGAGCTTTTAGACACTGGGGACGTTCTACTTTAACAAATTGTACTTACGTTGAAAAAGCTATCGATGAGCTTCGATCTTTCTCCAGTTTCTCGTTTCTCCCTGCTCGAAGCTTCACCGACGGCAACTTGAAAATTGTATTCATGCTCCTGGAAAGTGATAAGAGAACGACGTATTATGTGAGTTCTTGGAAACTATTTCATTGATGATCAGGTGAGTGGATCTCTTCTAAAATATTGTCTAATCAGTTAAGAAGGTACACTAGTAATGAATTTGTTTAATTCAAATTGTCGAGGCTCTGCAAGGTATGAAATGACGTCAAGTAGGTTGACTCTACATCTTCCAAACTAGTTCTTGTTGAAACAAGACAGCACCAAAGACCTTATACCCTAGATAGAGGATAGTTGCTATCCTTTCATTCGTTGTCCTAGAGTCCAAGCCTAGACCATGCTGATGAGTTGCTAATAAACAGTAGTCTGTCGCAGGCTTAATGGAGCAACAAAATGATCGTTTACACTAGAATCTGTGACGTTATATCCTTCTTTAAAGCGTTAAAAATAGTATGTAAAGTACTTTCAAAGAGAAAGTCTAAAAGTATTTTTCCTTACAAATGTGATAACTTTGAGGCATTGCATTATGTCCATATAAATATTTTTCTATAAAGTTATTTCATCCTGAAGTATTAGCACATCTGTAAGAAACTCACTACAGAAAATCTGTTACCATTTCATTTTCAAACGTTTGCTTACGCTTTACCAATGACGTTCTCCTCAGTTACAGTCAACACAGACACAGACTGAACAGATTTCTTTAGATTATGAAATTATGTTATCGCTTTGGTGTGGTTACCTTCATTTTTCACTTGAAAATTTCATTATTGGGTAACGGTCTTGAAATGGTTAATTATGGATACCTTGCGTCTATTCAGACCTTGCTATACGCCTAAATATTTCTACATTCAACAAGATACATGTTCAAATTAATGTAGATAAGTTACAAGTTTATCTCTGCACATGTGCTTAGAAGCTCTGCAAAAGTGCTAAGGAATTGTCTAGACCGAGGAACAAATAGTTTGTATACACACACAACTCGAATTTGACATTACCAAATGAGATTTTTTTGATAATATTGTTATTTCCATGAACCATAAGCTTTTTACTTCTAGGATCTTTCTTATCGTTTGTTAATGTTTTTGTATATCGTATTGCTAATAGCTCAACAACCAGTCACCAAAAATACCTTCCTAAAAAAACACTATATCTGAAACACATTTGTGTACTTACCTGTTGATATGTCAGCTCATGCAGCCCTTTAGGAGTCTCTATTATTCCTGCTAGCTGCAGTGCCTGAGCTGTCAGTACAGTCACCAGAAGCATCCATACGACCTTGTCCAGAACGTATACTATGAACTGAAAGTATAAAAGTAAGTTGAACGTGTCTCATAGTCGCAAATACTTTTGTTTACTAACTCTTTCTTTTTCAATTACATTAAATGCTTGAATGTTTTCGGAGTTGCCGATTATTTTTTAACGTAATAGGATCAATACCTACGAAATGCTAACATTTTTTTTAACGTTTTCAACTTTCTGGTTATTTCGGGCTATAGCAGAAATCAGATTATTCGAAAATTCTGAAACCAGTTATGACATATTTTAGAAACGTTTAGAATTTCTGTGTATCTAAAAGATCTTCGAACTGCATTTGATCAATTTGAATGTGTCAACAGCAATTCATGAAAAGGATGTCTATTCAGGGTGTTTCAGTTTATTGTTGCATAACTTTAAGATTCGATAGAACTTTCAAAATTAATGCATAAAGTCTATATAAACATGGGTCGAAAAATGCGTGGCTTCCGAAATACAGGGTGTTTAAATTTACTTTCTAAAATAGTTTTTTTTTAATATTTCGAACAATATTTGATGTATAACAGTGAAAATTGGTATACAAGGGTTTTTGGGTACAACAAAACGAACCATGGGCACCGTTTTACTGTAGCCGCTAGAGTTTGCTCTCTACTGTACCTGTAGTGTATTAAAATGCCGAAAATTTTTTCTTAGTGCAATTTTTTGCTTTTTCCATAAAAAACTTATTCTTCGCACTTTTCAACATAAAAAAGGTCTCTTGTGAATTTTCGTTATAGTTAGCCGTTTTTGAGATATTTCGATTTTTAAGGTTCGATGCATTTTTAATTATTTATGATAAAATAACGTGAAAAAGTCAGTATCTCGATAATTTTTAGAAGTGGGCTGTGCCTGCAAATATTTTTGAAATTGAAAGCATAATAAGGTTAAACGTCAATTAGTTGACAGTTAGTTTTGTTGTCTGTTGAAACCTGAAACGTTTTTTTGCAATTGTGAATGCACGAAATTCAGTTTCTTTTACCTGTTTTTTATTTGTAAGTTTTATAAAAATGCCATTTTTATTCTCCAATCAAGAGCTAGCGGATATTCATTTTGTGTATGGCTTTGTAAATGGAAACGCAGCAGAAGAAGCCAGAGAATACGCACGAAGATCGACGACATCCAACTCGCTCAGTATTTGTAAGAGTGCATCGCCAAATAATTGAAAATGGTTTTGGAAATCTCCTAAGGGATCAAAACATAAATGTTCGTCAGCGCGGATTTACCCGTATGATTCTGCGTGAGTTTGATAGAGATCCGACCACAAGTGTTAGGAGAGTTTCTGGTGCCTTGGAAATTTCAGCAAGCCATGTTCACCGTGTTCTTAGAAATGACCATAGACGTCCTTACCATTTGCAACCTGTGCAAGGACTACAGCCAGGGGACGGAGAACGAAGAATCACATTTTGTCAGTGGATTCTTGATAGAACTGATAATAATAGGGAGTTTTTAAGTAACGTTTTATGGACCGATGAGTCATGCTTCACTAGACGTGGAGTGGTAAATTTTCTTAATCAACATATTTGGTCGCATGAAAATCCGCATGCAGTTCGGGAAAGAAATTTTCAGCATGAATTTAGTGTGAACGTGTGGATTGGTATCTACCGTAATCTATTTGGACCCTACCTTTTGCCTGCAAGGTTAAATGCTGCGACCTTCTTGGAATTTTTAAAGGCTGAACATGCAAATATGTGGGATGATGTTATGTTAGATTTAAGAAGATTGGCCTGGTTCCAGCTTGATGGTTGTCCAGCTCATTATTCGAGAATAGTTAGAAACTGGCTAGACGAAAATTATCCAGAAAGATGGATCGGTCGTGGAGGACCAGTCGCCTGGCCTTCACGATCCCCTGACCTAAATCCATTAGATTTATTTGTGTGGGGATTTCTAAAAGAAAAAGTGTACCAGACTCCCGTAACCACAAGAGATATGCTAATAGACAAAATCAGGAATGCATGTGATGAAATAAGGCCTTATTTGAATAATGCTATACCACGTTCGATCATTCGTAGATGTGAATTGTGTATTGAACAATTGGGTTTACATTTCGAGCAACTACTTTAGATTTTGTATGTTTGTCCTAACTATCCAATAGCTTTTTAGTTGTAAATAATTAATTTAATTTGTTAAAAATAATATTGGAAAATTAAACAAATAAATATTCTGTTTTTTTTGTGTTTATTTGGAGTTAGGAATTATTGCTGTGTTTAAAAACACAATCTAAACGATCATCTTAATTACTTGTAATGCCCAAATCGAAAATGTAAAAAAAAATTAATTTTCCCATAAATAATTAAGAATGCATCGAACCTTAAAAATCGAAATATCTCAAAAACGGCTAACTATAACGAAAACTCACAAGAGACCTTTTTTATGTTGAAAAGTGCGAAGAAAAATTTTTTTTATTCCAAAAGTAAAAAATTGTACTAAGAAAAAAATTTCGCTCATTTTAATACAGTACAGGTACAGTAGAGAGCGCCCTCTAGCGGCCACAGTAAAACTATGTCCATGGTTCGTTTTGTCGTACCAAAAAACCCTGGTATACCAATTTTTACTGTTACACATCAAATATTGTTAGAAATATTTAAAAAAAACTATTTTAGAAAGTACATTTAAACATATATTTCGGAAGCCACGCATTTTTCGACCCATGTTTATATAGACTTTATGCATTCATTTCTATCGAATCTTAAAGTTATGCAACAATAAACTGAAACACCCTGTATAGGTATTGTAGCAAGGCTACTTGGTTCCACTTTTTCTATTCAGTTCTAATACGATTCTTGAAAAAAAATTGTGTCAATATAAACAGATAAATTGATCTCGACATCAAAAAACAGATAGTTATGGTCCATGGAGAATGACGAGTCCTACTGCATCCTACAAATTACTTTTACTGAATTATTATTTTATTTCCAATAATTTCTGATTATCAGAGACTAGATACAGTCACCCATACATGTTAATGATATGATGTTTCCTGATAGTGTGCGTCGATTTGCCGCCGTTTGACGCTGTAAACGGCGATGCGCCTCACTACACCTCGAACAATCTTGCTTACCAAGTTTTCCAGTAATGAGTCTTTGGCTACTTCTAGATTTTCTTGTCCTTGTTAACCACGTATATTTCTATATTTAGTACCTTTTATGGATACTATATATATTCAAATTTGTGTATATGTATGAATTGATCATAAAGTTCATTAAATTAGATAAAATAAATGTTCTTCGACGTATTTTATGTTCATGTTCTGCAGATTTTAAGGAAAATCAAATAAAAAAAATGCAAATCCCAAAACAGGGTTGGGTATACCTCTGCCTACTATCTGGTAGATTTGTCAATTTGTAGTAAGCGGGATTGTCTCCAGGTACAAGGTCAGTTCTTATCTAGGAAGGCAATATAAAGATATCATATCTCGGGCAGAGGATAGTTGCTACGCTTTCGTTCGTGGTCCCATGCACCAAGCCTTGACCATGCAGACGAGTTGCCAAAAAGCACGAAACAGCTATCCGTGGTTGGTTGTCTCAAATCGGTCTGACGGAAGCAGCGTATTTAGTTGACACAATATAGAATTTCCGATGACATAGGTGACTAACTTCAGCGTATTTTTGAAGTGGAACGTATTAAAGCCTTTCATAGGGATTTTTTCTCAAATATTCAATCCAATTTTTCTCGAAAAGAAGTAGCCTGCGGAAAATTTAGCATGAGCGGTGATTCACGTGGAACTGGAGGACTTATTTTCAAATGCAGAAGGTTATGCATAAAATCATTGGCCTATAAGATTACTCTTTTTCTTTCTCTAGGGATTAAAATTTCCCAATGTCTACTGGTGTGGTCTCAGACAGGAAATTTTTTGTCTTTATTGGTTGCTGTTAGTACTACATGTACGAGCAAGGTTTAACTCAACATCATAGCACCCTCCGAAGATATATACAAATATTCAAGAATTTAAACTTGCAGAGCCCATGTTTATTAGGACTTCCCGCGTTTTCTGGAACTACTTTACCGCGGAAATATTGGCAATCATCCTGTATACTTGTAGACCACCGTCTTGAAGTGTCAACAGTTGCCAACTTTTATGCTGTGGCAACAGGTTATGGGATTTTCCGCTTCCCCATTGACAAACTCTCAAGTGCAGTTTGAGAAATGAGAGAGGGTCCTTATTCGGAAGGTTGATGTGCTTAAGAATAAACAATTTTTCCTAGAAGCCTGGCTACATGGCTGTGAGGATAGAAATTTTTGTGAATGTTAAAATACAGCATATGTCTGAGTATCTTCTTGAAGTGACTTAATGAGCTGAATCGACAAATTTTAAGTTTTTCGATATACTGAAGTAGTCGCATATGAATAAATCCAAATACCGATGCACCGTGACTGCTATAAGCAGTTTAAAAACACGTTGTTAATCAGCAGGGTTATTACGTAAAAACCCTTTAAAATGTCAAAAAAATACTATAAAATGTCAACTTGTTCACTAAGTAGCCTCCACAATCTTGACATCCTAGGAGCAAAGGAGCGGTCGTACCGACCAGTTATCGATGTGCGAAGCTCGACAGGTTTAGGACTGGATGCAGAAGCCTGGCGGGTCTGCCTGGGAGGCTCAACGCCACGCTGGATATCTGGACATACAGGAGAGAACTTTCAAACAGGGACAACTGCAGACAAGATGAACGCTGTTGAACGGAGAGAGAACGTCTCTAAACCCTTTGGATGGTACTCCGGACCATTATAGAATGACAGAAGATATTTTTCTCACCATAGTGTTTGATCCAAGTACTGAAAAACTCAGGAAGGCGTACTAAGTATCCCAGTATTGATATTCGGCACAATGTAGGTTTGATAATAATGTAGAATGGTCGGACAGTATGATCTTTATCAGGAGATTCCATCAAGAGTTTGAAAAAACATATCATGTAGGATTGAGTGTTGGTCCTAGTTGTCAGACCCCCCACCATTATCAATACCAATAGATGAGTTTTGTCCTTATCTATACCGAGGCGAATCGGATCAC